CTGGCTGGTCACCCCGAGGAACATGCCATTAACTGGGGCTCCAGGTTGATTTCTACTGTTGGCATACCTAGCATTCAGCAGCAGCTATAGCCAGGTCACCTTTGATGGACATTTACATAGGCACAGGTAGCTTCATATTCATCACCCATCTGTAGAGATCTGGCCACATACTTCTTCCCCAGATGGCTTTCTCGCTAATTTTCCAAACATGGTCTTTCCAAGTCCTAGCCACCTAGCTAATCCATTGACTACAGGTAATGAATAAGTGAACAATTGAACATTGGCCATTTCTCCTTCCAGACAAAATGTAAAGCCATGTGTTGCCCCCAATTTCTGCTCACTGTGAAGATTTTCCTTCACTAGTGCTTTTTAAAGTTATCCCAGAACAGGCTTCAGTGATATAACTGTCAATTTCTGTGTTGTTCCTGTATAACGTGTAGAACCATCAGTAAACCAGGCCCTACACTTCTTCCTGTCAGCTGATCATAGGGTGTACCCCATGAAGTGCCCTGTAACAGGAGTAGAGACCATAGGCATTTGGGCAACTTCATGTAACTTGCTTGTGCCTTCAGGGCCTGCTCAGGCCTAATCATGTATATTCCACTTACATTTGATAATGGATTATTACTGTGCACATTCAATGGTGTGGCTTGGTGGGTCAGATAATACCTACCTTATGACAGGCAGCTCATGTTGCATAGTAACTTGGTGGCTCATTGTCAAATGTTCAGTTTCCACTAAGGCCCAAAAGCAGGCCAAGAGCTGCCTTTCAAAGGGAGACTAGCTGTCAGTAGAAGATGGTAGAGTCTTGCTCCAAAATCCCAACGTTATCTTCTATGATTTACCTATAGGGGCCTGCCAATGGCTCCAGATAGCATTCTCATCTTCTACTGATAACTCGAGTACCATTAGGTTTGCTGGATCATATGTCCCAAGTGGTAGAGCAGTCCACACAGCAGCCCGGTCCTGTTGAAGAGCCTTCTCTTGTCCCAGGCCCCACATAAAACTAGCAACTTTCTGAAAAGTTTGGTATGTGGACCATGAGGTATGTGCTGTCTTAAGAATCTAGAAAGGTCCACTTACAGCTGTGCTTCTTTCTTGGTGGTGGGAGGGGCCAGATGCAATAACTTATCCTTCACTTTAGAAGGAATATCTCTGCATGCCCTCACCACTAGACTCCTAAGGATTTAACTAGATAGAAGGCCTTTGAAGTTTGATAGTATTTATTTCCCATCCTCTGATGTGTATTACCAATGAGTTCAGAGTGGTTGTTGCCTCACGTTCACTTGGTACAGTCAACATAATGTTACCAATATAGTGGACTAATGTAAAATTTTGTGGAAGAGACAGACTATTAAGATCCCTTCTAACTAAGTTAGAAGGGACACAGGGCAGGAGGGTTAATATATCCTTGAGGTAAAATTGTAAAGGTATACTGCTGGCCTTGCCAACTGAAAATTGCTTCTGGTAGCTTCTTATAGACAGGTACTGAGAAAAAGGCATTTGATAGATCAGTAGCTGCATTCCACATACCAGGAGATGTGTTGACCTGCTCAAGTAAGAACACCACATCTGGTACTGCAGCTACAAATAGAGTCACTACTTGACTAAGTTTGTGATGATAAACTGTCCTCCTTCTGTACTGGCCAGATAGAAGAGTTAAGGGGAGATGTAGTTGGACCCATGACTCTGCATTTTTCAAGCCCATGTTGGTGGCATTAATTTCTGCAGTTTCTCCATTTTTGATTCTCTATTTTCCTTGATAGAAGAAACTCAAATGGCTTCCATTTGCCATTTTCAATGTAAATATACTTCATTCTATAAGTCAGGGAACCAATGTGAGAATTCTGCCAACTTCTATCTATTCCAGCTAGGTATTCTGGAAACTGGGGAAATACTATAGGATGAGTTTGGGGACCCCTGGGCCCACTGTGAGTTGGACTCATCCAAAACTCCACCAATTACCTGACTTTCATAAGCACCTACTTTAATTGGAGGGCCACAGCACTTCTTGGGGTCTCCAGAATCATCATCAACTCTGAACTAGTATACAATAAAACCTAGAAAGTCTGATTGTTTCCTTTTCCCCAGTGTATAGTTGTAAAGGACATTTTGTCCCTCTGGGAAAGGACTAGAGGAAGACTAACAGTAAAATTCTTAAGCATTTTATCAAGGTCTTCCTCAGTGTAATCTGGCAATCCTTTCACTCAAGGAGTTCTAGATCTTCAAATGGCTCAAGTCTGGAAATTGGTTCACAGGTCATGATTCCCTTTTGCTGTGACCCATTGGAGTCTTTCTTTAATTTTTTTGGGAATGTTTCTGCATCTGTAGATCAAAACAACAACAACAACAAAAAACCCAAACCAAACCAAACAAACAAACAAATAAAAAAAACACACACACAGTAGGCTACCAATGGTCCCTATGAGTCTTGTGTTGACCATTACAGGTCATACCATTATGGACATTGCTTTACCTATGCTGCCTATTATATCTATGATCATTTTACCTCTTGTGATTCAGTGCTATCACCTGATCCCTGCTACCTCAGGGCTTAATTTAAATAACCCATTGCATTTAACTTATCCAAATGAGAAGCAGCATCATTTGTGACAACAAAGCTCTTCAGATGTGCTGGTGCCTCTATCACCATTTTGCATCTTGCAGGATTAGTGAAGGGCATGTCTTCTGGACCTTCCCATTGTGGAGAATTAGGTCTTATACAGCGCACCCACTCTAGTGTTGCAGTTTCCCTGTGCCTTTCATCAGCACTGAGCTGAGGGATACTAGGCATCTCCATCCAGTTCCTTTTCAGGAGGCCATCTTTGGCAAATACTTCAGCCAACCATTCTAACTTTTGAGTCCCTTTTTAAATGTGTGAACTTCCATATTAAAACTTTCTTATAAGAACATAGAATCTTCACTCAGCAGGCCAATATCAATAAACTCAGCCTGAGCCAGTTTTGTGTTCCTTCCACCATTATCCCACACTCTTTAAATCCATCCCCACATGCATTTCTTAGAGATTTACTTGAATGAATTAGCAAACCCATTAAGCTCTTTAGTAGTGTAGTGCACCTTCTTATATACTACACTTTCTACTTCTCCTCTAGGGTTCTGCTTAGCCTTTAGTCTGGTTATAGGTCTAGAGGCAACTATTGGTGAGCTCCAAGGGACATTAATATTGTCTTGCTTGGCATCTCCTTCAGGGAAAGTTACTTCTGGTTTAGCAGATGACAGAGGATTATTTTCCCCAGTCAAAGGCAGGAAGGACAATACTTTCAGGAGTGGAGTGGGATTACATCTTCTGATGAGGATGGATGGAATACTTCAAGTGAGAGAAACCATTGAGAATCTGCGGGTTCAAAGTTCTCAGCTTCAATACTATCTTCCCACACCTACATCCTAGTTAATGTGTTTACTTTTCCTGATACCTTGAATTTTCTAATCCCCTAGGTGTGGGATCTGTGAGATGTGATTAAATTGTAAGAAAAGAAACTTAATTATGATTCCTGCTCTTACAAAAGATGTTCCAGAGAGCTAGCCTATCCCTTTACTATGTGAACTAATATTTAAAGTCTTCATCTGTGAACTAGAAGATGGGCATATATTAGGTATATAGCTGTGCATTTTGGCTGTAGTCTGTACAGCTGCTAGAAGAGATAGAAATTCTATTGTTACAGTTTAGGCAGAAAAATATATTCTCTTTCCTGCTCATCATATAGGTCATAGCTGATACAGACCTGAACCTAAAGCCAGATTGTGAAGGGAGAAATGTAACATATTTATTTTATTCAGTTTCATGTGACTCAGGAAGCTTAGAAATGAAGACCAAAATCCCAGGGAACAGCATTTATTCCTGTCCAGATTTGATAAAGACTTGACACCCATGAAAAGTGATTGAACACAAAAAAGTATGACTTAATGACAGATAGAGAGTAGAAACCCAAAAACTACTAATTGAGATTCTTCTTGGACTCTCAGTATAGCATCCTTTTCTGTCAGGTATGAGCAAGACCCTTTCTAAATTGACTGTGAATTCCACATCTTATATCAAACAAGAAAGATCAGAAAATTTCTTCGATAACCAGCTCTTTGATAAAACTGAGTTTACTTATAGACTTTGTGGCTGACTGTATTGAAGTAGGCTTTACTTTCCATGATCCACTGTGTGGAAGAGATGCAGTAGTAGGAAGGCAATCAGGAGAAGGTCAGAAGAAGACTTTTCTTTTGAGGATTGCTCTCCTTAAAGTACTTATCATTGGGTTATAGATTTTTGTGCACCAATCTCAACTATCCAGCTGTGGTATTTTATTACAGCAACTTAAACTGACTTAGTGTAGGGAATATTTCCTTCTTCTGCCCTCTGCATTCTACCAGTGAGCTAAAGTTTCAGACCTTGATGTTTTTAGAGTCACATTCCTGCCATGATGCTCAGAGTACTTCTGAACCTCTCTGTAGGATAAGTGACCTCAAACTCATGGGCTTCCTACCTCAGTATCCCAGGGAATGGAATTATAGGTGTGTCCCATGATGCCCATTGCTGACATAATGGGCATATTAATGCCATTGGAGTTGTTCTAGCAATACATTCTGCAGTTCCTTAGAACCTAAAGAGATTTATGTCTTCTGTCTGTTCCGGAGTGATATCACCAGAGTGTTGAAATGTAAAGAAAAGCAAAGGAAATGAAGTTGTTGACCAAGACTGTTGTGATCAGATGAGAATGGTTCAGTAATATGGTATTTCTAATGCATTCCTTTCTTTTTGCTTATCTCAGATTTATTTTGTCTCAGATATTAGTTATTATAATAGTTTTTATTGAATTTTGGACTTTCTAAGACATTTATGTGAAATATTACTATATATGCTTTAAAACATTTTTATATTTTCAGAAAATAATACAGTGATAGGTAAAATTGAGATTTGAATTTCAGATTTTCAACAAAAAATGGTCTGTTTATTTAATAACTGTATGTTTCTTTCTGCTTCTCTTTTTTAGGACCAGGGTTCTGATACAACAGGAAAGAAGAAAACAGAAGGTAAGGATGTTGGCATTTGAGTGATGCTAGCCCTATAATAACAGATGTAGTGTCAAACTCCCGAATCCCTCTTTATCATTAATCAGCTCACCTCATGGCCAGGCACAGTGGCCCACTGTTGTAATTGTAGCTAAGCACAGTAATATTGCTGCATGTTCAAGCCCAGCTTAGGTAACAGTGAGTTTCAGTTCATCCAGACCTCCATAGGAAGACCCTAGGAGACACAATCTCAAAACAATCCCGCTCATCTGCCTCTGACAGTCTTTCTATCTACTGTGATCCCTAGGAGTTAGATGCAGGAATTTTGTTGCAGATCTATCAGTTTTCTGTATTTTGATTGATTGTAGTTTTCCATAATGGTTTCTGTATGTTACAAGGAGATATTTTTTGATGAATGGCCTTTACCTAATATTAAATTTGCTTGTAATTGACAATATTCTGAGATGCATTGCCTTAATATCCTGAAAACATAAGTAATGACTTGCATATATGACCTCTTACATTTTCTTGTCATTTTGACCTTTACTGTTTGAACAACTCATTTGCAACTGTGTTATAAAATACTTAATGGGAGATGATGTTTTGAAGGTAATCTGTTACAGTGTCAAGGGCATAATAGCAGATAAAAAACAAAAGTAATGAATGTCTTAATACATAGTTAAAACACTTTAAGATAGAGGCATAGGTGAGGACATTTTGACAAGGACTCCATCAGCACAGTAAATAATCTTAAGGATTGACAAATAGGATTTCATGAAGCATATGACTTCTACACAGAATGAGAAACAACATCCAAGTGAAGAGACAGCCTGCAGAATGGGAGAAAACTTGTCCACTATATATCTAGTGGAAGATAAGTATCTGTAACATGTAAAGAACTGCAAAGAATTAAACACCAGAAAAAGTCACATAATCAATAAGTAGAAAAATGAATTGCATAAACAGTTTTAAAAGAAATATATGGTCAATAGACGCTTCAAAAAATGCTCAGCATTCTTAGCCGTTTGGGAAATACAAACTAAAAGTACTTTCAGATCCTGTCTCAGCTGGGTTAGGAGATAGATATCTGTAATACCAGCACTCAGAAGGTTTGCTCAGGATTGCCATGAGGTCAAAGCTTGGGCTGGGATGAATAATGAGTTCTAGGCTAGCCTAAGTTACAGAATAATACCCTGTCTCTAAAACAACAAAAATCCATTCATCTCATCCCAGTGAGAAGGACTTGCACCATGAAGGACTTGGAAGGATATAGGAAAAAATACCTCTTAGCTAGTCAATGGGAGTTCAGTCACTATGGAACTCAGTGGGAAGACTACTCAAACACTAAAACTAGAACTACCACATGCTCAGTGATATCATTTTTGGATATATATTGAAATGACTCTTAAGAATATGTGCACCATTTGTGTGCACGCACATGTCTAAGTGGTGATACACATGTATCACAGCATGCCTGTTGAGGTCAAAAGACAACTTTCGAAAGAAGACTTGGTTATCATCTACTAAAGGTTCAGGACATTGAACTCAGGTCATCAGGCTTTTATCTCTGTGCTGTTTCACTGTCCCCCTCTTGATTTTTTTCAGTAGGTACTTTGCTATATCTTTTGAATTTTTAAAAATATATTATAGGAAAAGTTCTTTACCTGCCAGATTTAAAGTCTTTAGGCAAACTACAAGTTATCATATGGATTTCAGTTCCCATGTAAATGTTGTCCTCCAAGTGTGAAAACATGAAGTCAGTGGCATAGTAATTTAGCACATTTATTTTTTATGATCCCACCTTGAACTATTAGGTTGGGAAATTAATATTTTTAATTCTTAATCATTTTAGGAATACTTTGAAAAGAACAAGTTAAAATCAAAAATGAAATTACTAGGAGTTTTTTCACCTGTCAAGAACCCTACTGTCAGTTTAGACCTTCTTAATTTATACATGGTAAATCAGATATCATCCAAGAGGAAAACACATGGTAAGTCTTTCTAAGGCATTTATTTTTTATCTTGATGTGGTAATTCATAATAATGTCTAGCTGTCTAATTGCTTATAAATTCCAGAACTCAAAGCATATGGAAAACTTATTTTAAAACTTTTGTTGCCTTTTTAAATTCTAAGTTTAACCAATATTTTAATTAAGGTCTTTTGTTGTTTTATCTATTTAATTTTTGGCTGTGTGTGTGAGTTGTAGAAGACCAACTTGCTTGATATCATTAATTGGTCATGGAGTTATAATTATGATATGATATTATTACTTTGAGGCAAATAGTCACAAGTTTAGCTGGAGAGAAGAAAATATTGAATATGTTACTATCTCATATCACTTGAAAAATGAGTGCAGAAGGAATAACTGAGAGATTTTTTTCTTAGTGACATTGTTCCTATCTTGCAAATAAAATTTCTTATGCACTTCTGGGATAGTAACTTTAAGAGCTTTATACTTCAAAATGAAGTTTATTTTGTCAAACAGTTTGACTTCTCAACCAAAAAACTCTTTCTCTTAAAGAAACTTGGTCTATTATTTACATATTAAAAACTAGCATAAAAGTAAAAGTTCAAAAAAACATAAGAGTTTGGTGTGGTAGAATATTGTTTAAGGTGTGTGACTTTTGTTTATACTGCATTTGTTTAACTCTATGAAGCTGTGATTCTTTGCTTGTCTAAAACACCTGATGGTCTAATAAAGAGCAGATTGACCAATAGTGAGGCAGGAGCAAGGATAGATGGGGCTGGCAGGCAGAGGATAAATAGGAGAAAGGAGGAAAAGGAGAGCAGGAAGAGAAGAAGGAGAGGAGGATTGGATGTCAGGGGCCATCTACCCAGTCATCCAGCTACACAGCAGTCCATGGAATAAGAGTAAGATTTACAGAAATAATAGAACAGGAAAAGTCCAGAAGAAAAAGGTAGATAGGATAAAAAGTTAAGAAGCTGGCTAGAAACAAGCCAGGCTAAGGAAGGCCAGCACTCATAACTAAGAATAAGCTTCCATGTGTGATTTATTTGAGAGCTGGGTAGTGGGCCCAAATAGAGATGGTTGTACAGAAAGTGGGAAAAGTCTCACTAGAACTTTGTTAGGTGGGCTGGGTACTGAGCAAATAAAACTGTGATCTCAATTGCATAAAAAGATACAACGTTCCTTCCTCTAAAGCTGTGGTTGTCAACTTTCCTAGTGCTGCAGCCCCTAATGCTGCGATTTAATTCAATTCCTCATGTAGTGACTCCAGTCATAAAATTATTTCATTGCATATTGTAACTGTAATCTTTCTGCTGTTATGAATTGTAATTCTGTGTTTTCTGAATGTCTTAGGAGAGAATTGTGAGAGAACTGTTTGACCCCCAAAAGGGTCATGACCCACAGGTTAAGAAAGTTTAAAGTCTATTGAAAGACAGACTTAATCAATTGTAGTAAAATGTGTAAAGTGCTAAAATAGAGAGAACATATGGTGCTATGAGAATATATAACACAGTATCTGATACAGTCTAGTAACTGAGAAAGAAGAAATTAGGTTGAATTAGCAGAGCCCCTTTATTGATGACTTAGAAGCAGGAGAAAAAAAAAATCACATTTCATTAGTAGCTGTTAGCAGCCAGTTTACGTAATAACATGTAAAAAAGCATATTTAAAAAAACATTTTCATATGTACAATCAATTGAAGAATTATACAGCAAAATGATCTCAAAGCTATTTTAAAGTTATTATTTAACATTTTTATTATAGAAACTGTGAAAAGACCAACTCATGTGAATATGAATAGAGATTTGAAAATTCCACTAAGAAAGCATGACTTAGAACTTCCAATGTCACCTCATTGTGTACCTTCTAAACTGTGCATCGATGACATGGAAAAGAAGTAAGTGTTAGCTAAGACAGTGACTAACTGACAGAAGTTAACCTATCAACTTGCTGATTTGCTGGGAAATTGAGAAGGACATTACTTTCCAGTTCCCATTCTTGTTTGTCTAATGATATTATAAAACCATTAGGACATATGACTGTAGTGTTAGAGTTTTGTGCATGTGCTTCCCATATTAGAAAATGCCTATCTGAGTTTAATACAATGTTTTCCCCTAAAAATTAGTTGTATTATGAGCCTGTAGTAATTTACCAGAGTTTTCTATGTTGAGTGCTTGTGTAGACACTGTGAAATTTAAATATACACAAGATAAATTTTATGGTTGCTTGAATTTTTAACTTTAAATTTTTGTTTTCGTTAGTGTACCCTATCAAAGATTATGTAGCAAGGAAGAAACTGGCCCAGTTCAGGTGAGTTTTAAAGGAAATTATGTTGTTTTAACAATTGTTCCATGCCCAAAGATGCTCTCACCTTTTAAAATGCTAGGTAAAATTATTTATCCTTTAAAGTTTTTACAGGTTCTAAATGATTGCTTTTGCAGTTTTCAAACATAGGAAATTTATTTCTAAGAAATACTCTGATTATGAAGTTTCCTTGGAATGATAGTAACGTGGCCAGCCCTGTGTGCTTAATGCTTAATTCTTCTAGTTATCAAGGAGTTACGAAGCACAATTTACAGAGACACTGTTTTTAAGTATCTATTTATTTGTGTGAGTGTGTGTTCATTAGTGGTAGGTAGATACCCGTGTGTGTGTGTGTGTGTGTGTGTGTGTGTGTGTGTGTGTGGAGGTCAGAGGTCACCAACTCTTCAATGTCGTTTTTTGAGACAAGGTCTCTCTGCAACTAGAGCTGGTTGATCCAGTCATACTGACTGGCCATCAAGTCTGACTATGAACCCCAGAGTTGGCCTGTTTCTTCACTCTCCATCATTGGGATTGCAAGTGTGCACTGACACACTTGGCTTTTTCCTGTAGGTGTGGGGGAATCAAACTTGGTACTTATGCTTGCATAGCAGGCAATTTACTGATGAACCATCTCCACATGTCCCACTGAGGGAGTCCTTTATTAGCTTCACACATTCACTAATGAGTTAATCTTTTCAATGTAATGAGAACATTATATGTATCATTTTCTGATGTTAAGAACTCATATTTATCACAAGGCATTTTTTTAAAGTATAACAATTTTTTTTTAGTTTTTAAAAATTTATTTATTTAATATGTATTCAGTGTTCTGCCTACATTTGCCTGCAGGACAGAAGAGGGCACCAGGTCTCATTACAGATGGTTATGAGTCAACATGTGTTTTCTGGGAATTAACTCAGGATCTCTGAAAGAGCAGTCTGTGCTCTTAACCTCTGAGTGATCTCATTAGTCCAAGGATAACATTTTTTTTTTTTGCAAACAAAATCATAATGACTTAGAAAATGCACAGGTTGATTAAAGCTTGAAATTCTATTTACTGTCCAAGAGTATTAATTACTCTTTTTTTTAATCTTTGAATTGTCAGGTTTAAATTAGATCAGAAAGGCAGAGGAAACTAATGTTGGTTAAAAAATACCTTGGACATCCTGTTATCTGATTTATGGATTAAAGAAACTAGGTTTTTATGTCATTAGGAGGTGAATTCAGGAATGGAGCTTGAGAGCGGAAGACAGGTAGGGAAAGCAGAGGGAAGGAGCTCTTACATAGGCAACAACCTCACTGACCTCCTTGACCCTATGAATCACCAACAGTGTACCTTTCTTAGGATTTTCTGATTTGTAGTCACGCCCCTTTTCTGCTAATTTTAATTCTATAATTTTGACTTCTAGTTTCTGTACTTTTAGTGATTTTATCTTTTCTTTTCCTATAGTCATCACAGAACATGAACTCATACAGAATGTTCAACAAAACAGAAAACTGCAGTTATATTCCACCATCTTTTCCAGCAGAACTACCTTCTAACAGACATATTCCAAACCAAAACTCTACCCCAAGGATAGCACCAAATCCTCTGAAATTTACATCTGAAAAAAACCAAAATGAGCAGGTACATTGGGATTATTACTTCTTTGATGTCATATTTTCATAATAGGTTTCCTTTTCATAAATTTGACAAATTGCTAAATATAATGATAAATGAAGGACAAAATTTCATCCTATGCCCCATTCTTTATTCCCCCTCCCTATTTTAACCTCCCATTCAGGCCTTCCCTGTCTCTCTTTAATATGCATTCTATTTTCATTTCCTTGGGCAATCCTCCTATCCTAAAGTCTCTTACTTTACACCTAACCTCTGTGGTTATATGGATTACAGAATGCCTATCAAAGTCTTAAAAGCTGACATCCACATAATAAATGAAGACATACAAAATTTTCTTTTTGTGTCTTAGATATCTTACTCAGAATGTTTTTCTAGCTCCATCCATTAACCTATGAATTTTATGATTTTAAATAACTGAATAGTGTTCCATTGTGTAAATGTATCACATTTTCTTTATTCATAAGTTGACAGACATCTAGGTTGTTGATAACTATCTATTATCAGTAGCACAGCAATGAACATGAATAAGTGTCTATGTGGTAGGATATGCAGTCCTTTGTGTATATGCCCAAGAGTGGTATAGCTAGATCTTGTGGGAGACCTGTTCTCAACTTTCTGAGAAACCACCACACTGATTTCCACAGTGGCTATACAAGTTTACATTTCCACAAACAGTGGATAAATATTCCCTTTTCCCCACACCCTCACCAGTATGAATTGTAATTTGTTTTATTAATCTGGCCATTCCTATTAGTGTAAGTTGTTTTAACTTTAATTTCCTTGATGACTAAAGATGTTGAACATTTCTTTAAGTGTTTATTAGTGATTTGTGTCTCATCTTTTGCAAGCTGTTTAGTTCTATACCCCCTTTTCAACTGGGATGTAATTTTTCTTGATGTCCATTCTTTGAGTTCTTTACACATTTTAGATATTAACTCTCTATCAGATGAGAAGTTAGTAAAGCACCTTCCCTATTCTGTACCCTGCCATTTGCCCCCTGGAAATGCTATCCTTTGTTATACAGAAGTTTCTCAGATTCCTGAGGTCCTATTTATTAATTGTTTTTAGTTCCTGTGCTTTCAGTGTCCTCTTCAGAAATTATTGTTTCAATGAGTTCAAGACTATTCTCCATTTTTTTCTTCTATCAGATTCAGTGTTATCTTTCCTTGTTGAGGACCTTGATCCATTTAGAGTTGGTTTTGTGCAGGGTGATAAACATGGATCTATTTTCATTCTTCTAAATGCAGCCATCCAGACTGACCAGCACCATTTGTTGAAGATGCTGCCTTTTCTCCAGCATGCATTCTTTCATTTCTTTGTAAAGCCAAACAAAAGAAAAACAAAAGCATGTGCTTATAGGTGTTTGGGCTTCTGTTTGAGTCTTCAATTCAATTTCATTGATCAACATGTGTATATTTATGCCAATACCATGCTGTTGTACAGCTGAAATGAGGGATAGTGATACTTCCAGCAGTTCTTTTATTATTCAGGATTTTGTGTGTGTAAGTGTGTGTTTTCATATGAAGCTGAAAATTGTTCTTTCAAGTTCTGTGAAGAATTGTGTTGGAATTTTAATCAGGATGGCTTTGAATATGTAGGTTACCTTTGATAGGATGGCCATCTTCACTATATTAATCCTACTTATTAATGACTGTGGGTGATCTTTCCATCTTTTGATATTGTCTTCAATTTCTTTCTTCAGAGTCTTGATTTTTTTATTATACTATTCTTTCATTGGCTTGGTTAGAGTTATCCCAAAATATGTTTTTTTGAGGATATTATAAAAGGTATTGTTTCCCTCACTATCTCTGTCTGTCATTTATATATAGGAAGACTACTGATCTTTGTGAATTAATTTTGTTTATCAGATGTAGGAATTCTCTGTATGAAATAATGTTTTACTCCGCAATTAAAGATAATTAGACTTCTTTCTATTTGTATCTCTTTGATCTCCTTGAGATGTCTTACTGCTCTAGCTAAGACTTCCAGTATTATATTGAATACGTATGGGGAGAATGGATTCCTGATTTTAGTGGAATGCTTTGAGTTGTGTGGGTTTGCTGTAAATTGCCTTTATTATGTTGAGGTATGTCCTTTGCATTTCTAGTCTCTCAAGGACATTTTATCATGAGAGGGTTTTGGATTTTGTCAACAGCCTTTTATACATCTAATGAGATGATTGTGTGGGTTTTGTCTGTCAATCTGTTTATGTGTGGTAGATTACTTTTATCAGTGTGCATTTGTCAAACCATCACTGAATTTCTGGGATGAAGCCAAAGTGATCACAGTAGACAATCTTGTTAATGTGTTTATAAATTCTATTTGTGTTTCATTGAGAATCTTCATATCTATGTTCATAAGATATATGTGTCTACTTTTCCATTTTTTAGGTCTTTTGTGGTTTTGGTATTAGTGTAATAGTTGCTTTGTAAAAAAATTAGGAAATATTCTTTAAGTTTCTGTCTTGTGTAATAATTTGAGGAATATTGTCATTAATTCTTCTATGAAAGTCTGTCATAATTCAGCACAGAATCCATCTGGCCCTGGTAGTTTTTGGTTGGGAGACTTTCACTTATTGTTTCTTTTTCACTGGGGCTTATAGGTCTGTATAAAACGATGATCTGATCTTGACTTAACTTTTTTGGATTGAATCAAATGATTTATATATTTATTTATTATTTTAGGTTTTCCAGTTTGATGGAATATAGACTTTTAAAGTATGTCCTTATGCTTCTCTGAATTTCCTTGGTGTTTATTGTGATATCTTTTTGTCTCTATTTTTATTAATTTAATCTCTCTCCATTTTTTTAAAACAGGTTTTGCCTCAAGTTTATTTGTAAAAACAGTAGAGGGCACTGATCGTCTGTATAGTGTATAGGTGTATCACATCAGTCCATCTGTCTTCATAGTGGGGCCTTTTCTATGGGGCCTTCATAGGAGCCTGGGTACCTTTGGAAGTCTGGGTTGGAGCTGTAGTCTTAGCTGGAGCCAGGGCCTCTGCCTTGGTTTGAACCATGGGCTTTGGTTGGCAGAGCCTATGACCCACGGCCATATAGCTTCTAAACTGCTTCCCAAGCTTGGGGTGAGGAATGAAAGCAAGACAGCTAAGTTTGCAGCCAGGACCCTTTGGCATCTTGGGCTTAACCACCTTGGGCTTCACAAGGGCCTTGATGACCTCTGCACATGCATTCATTGCCTTTACATTGTTTGCCTGCATCTTCTTCAGGCCTTTCTTGTGTTTCTTGGCAAAGTGCATGTTCCTCAGGAACCTGGCTGGGTTCAACCCCCTTAAGAGATTCATGTCCTTGTGACTGGGTTTCTTGATGCCATGTCTGTGCTATTTCAGGAACTGGCTGTGTGTGGTATGGTTCTTGGACTTTGTCATGTCTGAATGGTATCCAGTAGCTTCCCCCTCTCCATTTTTTAATTTGCCTATGGGTTTACCAGTTTTATTGATTTTTCTCAAAGAAACAACATATCATTTCATTGATTCTTTGTATTGTTTATTCTGTTTATTGATTTCAGTTTAATTATTTCTTGTCATCTCCTTTTGAGTGCTGTTTCTTCTTTATAGTCTAAAGTTTTCAGGTGTGCTGTCAAGTTGCTAACATGATATCTTTTCATTTTATTTTTAATTTAGGCACTTAATGCTATTAGAACTGCCTTCACTGTGTGTTCCATAAGCTTGGGTATGTTGTGTTTTCATTTTCATTTAATTCTAGAAAATTTTTTATTTCTTTCTTAATTTCTGTTTTGACACATTTTCCATTCAGTAATGAGTTTTTCAATTTCCATGAATTTGTATACTTTCTGTTTTTCTTCCAGTGCCTTTTGTACAGATGAATTTGTAGATAGTAGATGCTATTTAACTTTGTTTTTATTATTTTTTTCCTTTTTTTTTTCCTAGACAGGGTTTCTCTGTGGCTTTGGAGGCTGTCCTAGAACTAGCTCTTGTTGACCAGGCTGTTCTTGAAATCATAGAAATCCACCTGCTTCTGCCTTCTGAGTGTTGGGATTAAAGGCAAGTGCCACCACTGCCCGGCTGTTTTTATTTTGGAATAAAATATTTAAGAATTTTTTCTTTCTTCATCTATTGTGATTGATGATTTTACTAAGAATACTGTTCTGAGCTGATACTTCTTGTCCTTAGAGTTTGTAGAATATCTATCCAGGTCCTTCTGGCTTTAGAGTCTCTGTTTAAAAGTCTTGGCTTTTTTTTTTTTTTTTTTTTTTTTTTGTACTGCTGTTCAGGCAGCTAGAATAAGGACAATTGAGGTTATTCAAGGTGTTGTTATCTGGTTGTGTTTTGTAGGGATGTATGGCTGTTTGGTTCTATGGTTTCTGTTGCCCTATCTGGATCTTATGAATATGTGTCGGTTGTGGTTGCCTGATAGAGAGTGCTTCTGTAGGTTAGTGAGTGGCAGAGAGGAATAGGGATGGGCTAGGAGAAAAGACTGAGTGGAAATTTGGGAAGAACTAAGGGGATCCTGTCAAAGATGGAGTCCCCAGACAGTTGAAGGTGTGGTGGTAAAAGGGGATCTTGAAAGCAGTTTGCAGTGAAGTAATGTAGCAAGAAAAACATGAAAGAGCTAGGATGACTCTGGGTCTGGACCAGGAGTTGGAGTCTCCAGTGAATGAAGCTGAGGTGGGGAGCACCTGCAAGCAGGTAGTTACAGGGTCATATAGAGTGAGAGGTCATATAGAACAGGACAGATGGTGTAAATTGCCTCCCCAAGTTACTGCCAAATGTGACCTCTGAGGTCACAGGTAGAAAGTGTTCTTTGGTATTGGAAGCTGATACAAAGGAATGGGGGTGGAGGGTCTACAAGTTGGGGAAGTTGGGTCCCCCACAAGATTTATCAGAAACACCAGGAAATGGAGGAGAGGCAACTGAAAGCAGTTGCTACAAGGCTAGGAATGAGACTGGAGGGATTGTAATGGGAGACCACAAAGGGTCCAAATCACCTACCTGAGTCCCATCCAGGTTGGCCAGCAGAGGCCAGAGGTAGAGAGTGTCTGTTGGTATTGTTAGCTGACACAGAGGGATGAGAAGGAGGGCTGAGAGAATCTACCCAGTTTACTTATAACTTAAGAGACAAAATCTTGTTGATGCAGCATAAACTCCATATTCTGTGAATTACTTTGTAGAGTAGAAAATAATACATTATATAATATTTATTTCAATATTTATCTTGTTAATACATACATACATACATATATATATATATATATATAATAGCTATGCATTATTTAGGTAGGTAGGTAAATACAATTTAAGTTGTAAATATGTACATATTTTTTGTCATTTTCTTCTTTTTTTCAGTTCAGTAATGGAACGTTTTCCAAATTAAATAAACATCAAGATATTTTCAGTTCTTCTCAGAAAACAGCAGGGTTTGGAGCAACATATGAGGGAATGAACAGGTGAGTGGGGTGCAGAAGGAAAGATGATACAGCCTGCTGAACTCCAAATCATTACTTGATCTTAAAAGGACATAAATATTTTTAGTTGAAGATATAAGCAATATTCTACAAAAAGGCCAGTATAATGAAACACATCCTTTGGTTAGTTTAATTTTGTTCTTTTAAACACTAACATAGCATGCATACTAGCGACTTCAGGGTGAGTATTGTGTGGACATATAAAGTTCAGCCTGTCCACTCCTATTCATTGCAGCCCACATTTTTTCATCTGCATATGAGAAAGAATATTTGTCCTTGTCCTTCTGTATTTGTCACATAACAGAATGTTCTCTAGTTTTATTCATTTTGATGTACAAAACAGGATTTCATTCTTTTTTATGCTAAATACTGTTCTATGAATTTTAGACTATTTATCTGTTGATGGGCATGCAGACTAAGTTCATGCCTTAGCTGTTGTGAATAGTGCACACACACACACACACACACACACACACACACACACACACACTCACACACACATATCTGTCTGTGCAGCTACACTGTAGGTGTGCTGATTTTATTTCTTTGGAGAGATACCAAGGAATGAGATAGATCATTTGCATTTGCATTTTTTGAGGCACCTTCATGCTGTTCTTTCCTTTTTTTCTCTTATTTTACATATTGATCGCAGTTTCCCTCTCCCCCCATCCTTCCATGCTAACCCCCCCTCCCATGCTGTCCCATTCTCCATCCACTCCCCAGGGAATGTGAGGTCTTCCAACAGAGATCATCAAAATCTGTCAAGTCATTTGGGGTAGGGCCTAGGCCCTCCCTCCTGTCTCTAGGTTAAGGGAGGATCCCTCCATGGGGAATGTGTTCCCAAAGTCCTTTTGAGAACCAAGGATACATCCTGGTTCCACTGTCAGAGGTCCCTTGAGAGGTCCTTTGACTACCTAGGCCTTCTAACTGAGAACCAAGTTCAGGGGGTCTGAGTCAGTCCAATGCTAGTTTCCCAGCTATCAGTCTGGGGGCCCATGAGCTCCCCCTTGTTCAGGTCAGCTGTCTCTGTGAGTTTCTGCAGCCTGGTCTTGACCTGTTTGCTCATCACTCCTCTCACTGATTCTAGGAGTTTGGCTCAGTGCGTTTCTGCTTCTGTTTCCATCAGCTACTGGATGAGGGCTCTATGATGGCATATAAGTTAGTTATCAATCTCAGTATCAGGGAAAAACATTTAAGGTTGTCCCTTCACTATTGCTTAGATTGATGGTTGGGATCGTCCTCGTAGGTTTTTGGACATTCCCTAGTGCTAGTTTTCTCTTCAAATCTATAATGGCTCCCTCTATTATGGTATCTCTCTGTCTTTTGTTGTTGTTGTTTGTTTTTTGTTTTGCTCTCATCTATTCATCCCCCAACTCAATCTTTTTGTCCGCCATGTTCTCCTCTCCTCCCCTTCTCTTTCTCCTAACTCCCTCTCCCCTCACTGCGCCTCCCCATCACTACCCGCTCCCAATTTGCTCAGGAGATCTTGTGCCTTTCCCTTTCTCCTTGTTTCCTAGTTTTTCTGGCGGTGTGAATTGTAGGCTGGTGATCCTTTGCTCTATGTCTAAAATCCATATATGGGTGACTACAAACCATGTTTGTCTTTCTGTGACTGGGTTACCTCACTCAGCATGGTTTCTTCTAGTTCCATCCATTTTGTCTGTGAATTTCAAGATTCCATTGTTTGTTTGTTTGGTTTTTTTTTCTGCTGAGTAGTACCCCATTGTGTAAATGTACCACATGTCCTTTACTCATTCTTCAGTTGAGGGACATCTAGGTTGTTTCCAAGTTCTAGCTATTACAAGTAATGCTGCTATGAACATAGCTGAACAGATGTCTTTGTTGCATGGATGTGGATCAATTGGGTATATGCATAAGAGTGGAATTGCTGGATCCTGTGGTAGACTGATTCCCATTTTTCTGAGGAACTGCTATACCTATCTCCAAAATAGCTATACAAGTTTGCACTACCACCAGCAGTGGAGGAGTGTTCCCTCTCTCCGCATCCTCTCCAGAATAAAGTGTCATTGGTGTTTCTGATTTTAGCCATTCTGACAGGAGTAAGATAGTATCTCAGAGTAGTTTTGATTTGCATTTCCTTGATGGCTGAGGATGTTGAGCACTTTCTTAAGTGTCTTTCAGCCATATTGAAAATTCTCTATTCAGTTCTGTACCCTACTTTTTAATTGGATTATTTGGTGTTTTTTGTGTCTAGCTTCTTGAGTTCTTTGTATAATTTGGAGATCAGCCCTGTCAGATTGTAGGGTTGGTGAAGATATTTTCCCATTCTGTTGGTTGCTGTTTTGTCTTGTTGACTGTGTCATTTGCTTTACAGAAGCATCTAAGTTTGAGGAGGTCTCATTTATTAATTGTGGATCTCAGTGTCTGTGCTACTGGTGTTATGTTCAGGATGCAGTCTCCTATATCAATTCATTCACTCCCATTTTCTCTTCTAAGAGGTTCAGTGTGGCTGGATTTATGTTGAAGCCTTTGATCCAGTTGGACTTAAGTTTTGTGCTGATGATAGACATGGATCTATCTGCAGTCTTCTACACACCAACATCCAGTTATGCCAGCACCATATTTTGAGGATGCTTTCTTTTTTTGCATTATATAATGTTAGCTTTTGTCAAAAATCAGGTGTTTGTAGGTGTGTGGGCTAATATCAGGATTTTCGATTAGATTCCACTGGTCTACCTATTTTTGTGCAATACCAAGCTGTTTTCAGCACTTTAGTTCTATAGTACAGTTTGAAGTCAGGGATGGTGATGCCCTCTGAAGTTCCATTATTGTACAGGGTTGTTTTAGCTATCCTGGGTCTTTTGTTTTTCCATATAAAGTTGAGTATTGTCCTTTCAAGGTCAGTGAAGAATTGTGCTGGAATTTTTGACGTGGATTGCATTGAATCTGTAAAATGCTTTTGGCAAGATTGCTATTTTTATTATGTTGATCCTACCTATCCAAGAACACTCCATGCTGTTCTTTATAGTAGTGATCTTATTTTTAGTTTATATTTTCACACACCATGTGTAAGAATTCCTGCTTATCTCTGGGTCAGCATTTGTTTATTTTTTGTGTTTTCTTTTTTTAAAAGTAGTCATTTTAACGGCATGGGATGGTATCTCATCATGGCTTTATTTTGCATTTCCTTGAGGGCTAATCATGCTGAGTATTTGTTTTCATATATTTTAGTCATATTTCTGTTTTTGAGAAACATCTATTTAAATCCTTTTCTCATTTAAAAAGGTTTTAAAATTATTTTATCCAGTGTGTTTGAATGTTGTGTATGCAAGTACATCTGTGCTTAGTATGTAAGGAGGCCAGAAAAGGCTGTTGGATCACCTGGGACTGGAGTTATAGACAGTTGGGAGCTACCATGTAAATGCTAGAAATCAAACTCAGGTCCTCGGAAGAGCAGCCATTGTCTTAACTGCTGGGACATTGCTCTAGCCCAAATTTCTCATTTTAAAATTTGATTATTTGGGCTTTAGGGAGGGTTCTAACAGATTCATAATTAGAAAATTGTTCCTCACATTGTTTAGTTTCTACAAAGTATTTGTCAATATTGACTATGTTCCCTGAGCTTTGTGGCAATGTACACCAAACAGTTATCAGTACCCTGGAGTATTCTACTAATCTGGTCTTTGCTCCACTGGGAGTTGATTTTTGTAGAAGGTGAGAAATAGCAATGGAGTTTTAATCTGCATGTGGATATCTAATTCCCCAGAAACATTTGGTGAATAGGTACCCCAAATTACATGGTGCCACCTTAGTCATTTTATTAAAGTAGAAGAATCTTTGTTTATTATATTAGCCTTTGACTGTAGGGTAGCACTTTTGTGGTTTTTACTTTCACTTCCTTTTCCTTACAGGTCTTGTGGCTATAACTGTTTTGTTTTATACATCTCTTAGTAATTCATCTGTTATAATGCTGAAAATCAGTTATAAAATATTTTTTCAACATATAGTATACTTTATAACTTATGACATCTTCTATAGTTTTCTCCCATTTATAATGATAGAAAACTTTTTTGGCTTTAATGGTGTGTGTTATTACAATTGACTTTGTCTTTTAGTTTAAAACACTAATTAAATGCTCATTGAGAAATCACAGGGAATCATGATCTATGAACATATGTCTCAAAACACGAATTTCTCTGTTTAATACTAACAGTTCTTTCTCTCTTTATCCCCAATACATTACCTAGTGCCTAGGACATAGTATTCCTATTTAAATATTTAATAGGTAGCTAAAAATCCAATTATAAATCAGAATTCTAAGTCTGAGGAAATGACTTAGAATACAGACTGCTTTCACAAAAGTGTCCTGGTTTGGTCCCTATCACCCTCATCATGCAGTGGAAACCAACTGTAACTCTAGTTCTAAGAGGTTTGACACTGTTGGTTTTTGTAGACACCTACACTCAGCTGCACTTACCACACTCAATATACATAAATAGATATACATAACTAAAAATAAAGGGAATATTAAACATTTTTGTTAGCAGTCTTGAGTTTCTTCCATTTTTTTTTTATACTTCCATTCTCTGAAATTGTCCAATCTCAAGTGTGTTTATAGTCAACAGTGATAAAACAAAAAGTATTTTTGTTGTTAACATTTCTTGTCAGCTTTGCCTATTATGTACACATTAGACTTAACCCAGAGTTTCCATTTTTGCTTAGGAAAATAATTTATAGGTTACCCAGTTCATCTAATTAGTTTTCATGTAGGTTACCTTTTATCATTTAAATAAATCACATATTCATTCAGAACTGTGTAATTGTATCAATTGTTAAATTGGAAAATATCTTTGGTAATGTTTTTATAACTCTTGAAAAATATTTTTATGTAAGATAGATTCCCCTCCCCCAGTCTTCAGAATCTCTTTCTCTGTTTTCTTAAATAGCAGCAGCATTCAGTGGTACACTAGGTTATTTGCTAGACTGTACTGTAGAAATCAGACTACTGAGTTTCATTTTGTTTGCTAGTATAACAAACTATGCACTAAATTTCACATTGAAATACAGAACCACATATCATTAGAAGAATATATTAGATAAATTTCCCTCTAAAACATTATTATATGCTTAAATATTAAATATAAAATGTAATTTGGAAAATGCTAGCCATTCTTCAGTATCTTCTTCAAAGTTTTCAATTGAAGCATTGAAGCTAGTGTTTGTAAATGAAAATGATCCACCATTTCCTGTTAAATCTGTTTCTATTCATTCCAAAGTCCAGGAACTGGTGGTTTCCTTACTGAAAGACCTGCGATTCTGGGTGAAGATTGTGGAAGCCTGTATGAAAGAAGACAGCCAGACTGTGCTACTGAAAAAACATCAGTGCAACACATTTGGGGGAGTAATGGGAAAGTGGTCTCTGATTTTCCTGAAGATATGATCCAGCCAACTCAGAGACATCTGTCATCTAGACATGACTCAGATGTGTTTGTCAGTCACAACATGATCAATTTATTAAGTAGAGATCAGCCAGGGAGAATGGCTACCTTTCATAAGTGTGGCTATGGTAGTCTGAGTGACACTTGTGTAGTTTCTTCTGATGAAAGCCAATCCACCAGTGTTGGGTTCATCAAAAGGAATTGTCCAGTTCCACAGGCAGATTTTCATAATCCTCCACTTAATACAAGTTACTTAGGAACATGTCAGTCAAAGAAGCCCCCCTACCAGGAGTACAGCAATAGAGAAATATATGAATTTAGAAGATCTTTTGAGACAGATTGTCACCCAACCAGCTGTGGAAGAAAAGGTTGGTGTTGCACACTCAGTTTCTCTCTATGTAAATATATATTACTGTGTTTCATTTATTTATGCACATATACATAAAGTTGGCTCTCTGTATCCAAGTAATCCATATGTTTATATTCAATTAACTATATAGACTAAATCGAAGATGTCTTTGCTGAACATGTACAGACTTTTTTCTTACCATTATTCCCTAACCAGTAAAGTATATATGCTATTTCCTAACATCCTCAGAGTGGGAAAGGTGGCTTGTTGCTGACCTGAGTTTAATCCTGGATCCCATGGTGAAAGGAGAGAACCAGCTCCTGAATGTTGTCCTCTGACCTCCACCTACATACTGCATCTGTGAACACACATACACATAGATAGATATTTTCATAAAGAGCATGATGTTAAGTGTAATTGAATGTATGCTTTTATTTTTGAAGGAAAATTTGAAAGTGATGGCCAGGAGAAAGCACTGCAGGGAAATACCTGGGAATGCCCAGTGTACGCCATGTAAGTTTAGACTTAAATGTAAGGAATGTATGCAAACGAACATAGAACTTGCAATGATAACGTTTGTGGGATGGTGAGCAAACTGGTCTCAAAGATGCCTTGTCTTTTTTAAAAAAATGAGTAATATCAACTTCTTAAGCCTATGGTTTTCACATTTTCAGCCTCTAAGACCTTATCTGACCAATTAGTGTTGAGTATCCACCATATATCTTCTAAATATCCATTCATTGGTTAACAGAAATAGAAGTATCACAAGGGGAGAATGTTTATTAGCCTAAGTAGCATATTGTCTCACTTTGCAGTCCCCCAGGCATATTGCTTGTTTAGTATAGAATCAACAAGGAGTATGAAAATTCAGTGAGGCAGTATGAGCAAGAATATCTCGGTTATGTGACAGTCGGTGTTCCACATCCTTGCATGTGCATGCTAGCATTCACCTCCCACACTCCTGTGTGACAGGATAGAAATGTTGAGGGTTGTGTCCCCTATATCTCATCGTTATGGTTTTTTGTTTTGTTTTGTTTTGTTTTTTACATGGAAACCATTATGCCTCACTGTATCTGGCTTCTTAGTGCTGGCAATGTAAAAAGTATTTTGTGTTTTATATTTTTAATTGGATCTGTTAGTTCTTAAAACATGATTTATTCCTTTGAGTTTTGAGGCAGACTTTCTGGCTTTTCTACAAAATTATCTACAATTATAGATAATGAAGGAAAATGTTGTTTTAGGTCATAGTTACTGTTTTCTTAGTAATAATCATAATTTAACCAGATCTCTATGGTTTGCAATTTACTTATTCATATTTTTATTGTGCAAGTGATTTCTTATTGAAATTTAAAGTATCTATTGATGAAAAGAATTTATACATGCTATTTTATGGGGTTGGCATTAATTAAAATTTAGGCACATAATAAATTTCTAAAATTGAGAAAGAAAATTCTTTGTTCTTCAATTATCTGGAAGTTTATAAGTAAAACATTTTGTTTGGCTTTGAGTTTTAAATTCAGCTTTTAAAAAAGTGACTTAGGATGCATAGCACTATGTTTCAAAAGAACAAAAATAAAGCGGGAAAGAAGACAAGAACCTGATTCTCAATCACAAGTGCAGATTTAAATTACCTGGAGGGACTATGTCACAATATGGATGTTTCAGGGCTAGGGATCTGGCTCAGTGTGATTTGATGCACAAACACCAGGACTTGAGTTTGATTCCTGTACAACATACAACAGCTAGGTGCATTGGTGCACACTGCCAATCCCAACACTAGGAAGTGGGGGACAGGAGGATCTCTGGGGCCTGTTTACAGCTCATTTTCCCTACTGATCAAATCCCAGATCACCATGAGAGACCCTATATCATAAAACAAGGTTGATGCCTCCTGAGAAGCAACACCTGAGGTTGAACTCTGGCATTCACATGTAAACATGTATGCTTCTGTACACACACTTGTGCACACACACACATATGCACATGCAAAGAAAATATAGATGTTTAGCCTACACATTAAAACAATAAGCAGTTTGCCATAGTCCTTGTCAGCCCATATTTTTAAGAAGCTTCTCATATAATTCTGATTTGAAACCAAAATTTAGGATAATAACTGTCAGAAAATAGACTTTAATACTTTTTTCCCTCATCCTTAGGGGTGCTATGCCTTTGAAAGAATTACATCATAAGCAGTCATGTGATTTTGACCATAATGAGGTAAGAGTTCATTGTCACATTGTCTTTTCAATTAGTCAGTCTGTGGTGTTATAGCATTTAGTTTACATTATCTTAAGATTATCTTTTATTCATAAATTTGTTTTTATGTAGACTCATATTCTCTTATACTAGAAAAGCTATGGCTTAGTTAGAAAATATCATGTTTTTTATTTGAGACAAATTACTCTAGACCTATTTAAAATAGTTCTTATTGCACTGTAAGATTTTGTTGGAAAAAAATGCTTTGTGTTTCACTGTTTGGTGAGTACAATTGAGTCAGGAACTAAACCACTGGCTTACATAATTCAAAAGTCTTAACTATATAATTTTTCCTTAATAAGCGTGCTGGCTAGTTTTATATCAACCTGACACAGCTAGAGTCATCTGAAAGAAAGGGGAACCAAAATTGAGAAAATGTCTTCATAAGATCCAGCTATAGAGCATTTTCTTAAGTAATGATTGATGGGGTGGGTCCAGCCCATTGTGGGTGGTACCGTCCTTGGACTGGTGGTCCTGAGTTCTATAAGAAAGCATGCTGAGCAAGCCATGAACAGTGATGTAGAAGCATAAGCCAAAACCCTCAGGTTGTTTTGGTCATGGTGTTTCATCACAGCAATAGAAAACCTAACAAAAGTAATAAGTGTGTATAGAGTGTTATAAATTCATGTGATAGACACTTAGTGGCTTTTGTACACTAAGCACAGGTGTAAAATGGTACCAGGAACTTTTCATCTCTTGGAGATTACATTCTGTTATATACTGCATTCTGCAAGGTAAAGATACAAAGGATATATAATCTTCCTTTAAAACTCTTCTACAGCTATGCAGACAGTAAATGCAAAGCATGTAGATAAATGGCTGCTATTTGATTTTTACAAAGGGCATTGATACTCTAGTGAAAGTGGCTTTTAAGTTTCATGTGTTGGTAACAGGAAGATATTACATGGGATACAGTTTCTGAGCATAGCTTTCAATGAAGAGTTTGCTTGATGCATAGAATGTCTAGAGCAATGGTTTTCAACCTATAGGCCACAACCCCCTTTGGGGGTGGCATATCAGATTTTTACATTATGATTCATAACAGTAGCAAAATTACAGTTGTAGTAGCAAGGTAGTTTTATGGTTGGGGGTTCACTACAGTGTGAGGAACTGTGTTAAAGAGTTGAACCTTTAGGAAGATTGAGAATCACTGATCTAGAGGAAATAGTAATTATTTTTTTACAAATTTCAAGAAGCTAATTTAATTCCAGTTATTAGCCCATTCCTAATAGATTACTAGGGGTGCTAGAGTGTCAAAATACTAATTCTGGGCAAAAGGAAGAGCCAGGTCACACATGAACTTCTGTGATGTTTAGTACCTTAATCACCTGTCAGCAAAGAGAGATCACTAACCGTCTAGCAGGGGCACATGATGGCATTAGAACACTATAGATTGACTTCAGCAACAGCCAGCTTTTATTTCAGAAAAACTCAAGGCCAAATGTCCTACTTAGCTTTAATTGTCACTTGAGGAAACCTAGAACTGTCTGAGAGAAAAGCTTCTACTGCCTGGGTATTCTGTGGATATGTCTCTGAGGCACTGATGATTATTAATCAATGCAGGATGGCCACACATACCCAACATAAGTGTGAAATCAGAGGATAGCTTTGGGGTTGGTTTTCTCTTCTTCCTTTTGTGTGTGTCCCAGAGTTTTAACTTAGGTCCTAAGGTTTATGCAGTGTGTTTTTATCCTCTGAGCCATTTTGTTGGCACCAATAATGAATTTTAAAGTTGGGCAATCATAATAAGGATGGGAAGATGATTTTTGAAAATTTGAAAGGACTTTATGATTTGTGATTAGTAAAAGGACAAGGAAGAAATTGAGAAAGGTGTACAGCTAATGGTTTAGGGAAGTCAAATGGCCCCATTCACCAAGATTAAAGATATAGGACGTGTCAGAAAAGGCCAAGTTAGTTTTAATTTAATCTCTCTGTGCAAAGAGCTACTGCTGGGAAATGGTTTCCTAGCCAAGTAACATCTATATAATACATAAATTATACACACATATACTTACATGTATCATGTATAGTCTTAAGTACATAGAAAATAGTTGATTTCTGGAGGCTTTAAACAAGTAACCTTGATGTCATTAGTCCCCCCACACACACACTCCCAGCCCCCCATCCCTTCTCCTTCTGTATTGAGTGAGCTCCCTTCTTCCTCCCGAATTGGAGTCTCTTTCTCATTTTTCTGTTTCCTCCTCCATAGTAGAGAACATCATTAAGATAGAAGATAAAGGAAGTCACATTTCTACATAAAATGTAAGGAATGAGAGGTTCTTTGAAATTAGCATAATAATTGAAAAGGGGCTGCCTTTTCTTACCTTAAAAGATGTCAAAGAAGAAAAAGTTCTATACATTTCTAGCTTATAGATACAAAGATTAAAAATAAAAGACACTTATATATGTATGTATATATGCATATGTATTATATATAATATATGTATACAATGTAGAAGAAAAAAGACACAGCATTTCTAATCTTAGCAAGAATGACTTCTTGCTGCTACTCAGGTTGAGTGAAGTCTTGCTTTCCTGGAGAGTGAAGGAAGTTTCTTCTGTTTTGGGTGGCTTCTGTGGTATTTTGAATGAGAATGTCCCCCATAGGCTCATACATTTAAATATTTGGTCCCCAGTTGATGGTACTCTTTGGGAAGGAATAGGAAGTGTGGCCTTGTTGGAGGGAATGTGTCATTGGGGGCAGATTTGAGGTTTAAAAAGACATCATTCCTAGTCTCTTTATGCCTCCATCTTTTGAATCAAGATGTAAGCTCTAGCTCTTCATGTTGCCATGTCTGTGCTCATCCATCTTTAACTCCTAGCACTCTAAAACCATATGCCCCCAAATTAAATGCTTCCTTTTATAAGTTTCCATGGTCATGGTGTTTTGTCACAGCAATAGAAAAGTAATTTGGACAGAAATTGGAATCAAGGAGTTATAGCTGTGACAGACCTGACCAGGCTGTTTTTTTGGAGGAATGAGGAAGCCTTTGAGACTCTGGACTAGGAAAGTGGTTGAATGCCAATAGCAAGGCTTAATGAGTGGGTCATCCTATTCAGGCTTGGAAGACAATATCATTGACAATAATGTAGACTATGGAGGTCCAGCTCAAGAGATTTCAGAGAGAATATTATTAACAACTGGGGTAATGACCATTCTTGTATTATTTGGTGAAGAATGTAGCTGCCTTAGCCCAAGTCCTAAGAATTATCCCAAGAATGGCTAAAGTGAAAGGTAATGAACTAAAGTTTTAGTGGAGGAAATTTCAAGACAGCCTAATAATGATTCTGCCATGTTATTAGCAATAACTCTTATACAATGAAAAAGAATAAGTAGAACAAAAAGGAATACAAAATGTACAGTTTGAAGAGAAAAGGGGCACAGGAAATTTAATTTTGGTACCTAGGCTTGTGCTGAAAGAGATGATACTAACAGGTGGAATAAAAGCAGGAGTATCCCCAGGACAGGATTGAATCCGCTAAGCTTCCTACTTGTAAAAAAGAAAGGCCTGAAGAAGTTTCTGCTCCTAAAAGTCAACAACATAGGAAAGCTCATACAAATGTGACTCAAGGGGTCCAGGACCCATCCCAAGCAGGTAATTGAATTTGGTAGTATTGCCTATCTGGTTCTTGAAGGCTACAACAATAAAGAGGTTTGGAATCTGCCTCTGTGGTTAAGCAGATATGTGGAGGCCAGGCATTATGTGGCAAGGCAGGCCTACATGAAGTCCCTGTGAGATATTTATGTGAAGCTGGGAAAGTTAAGTCTGGATTACAGTGGAGACCACAAGATATTGGAAGTGGCAGTGCCAAGAGACATCTTCCAGGAAGAGCTGCTGCACACAGAGAGTGGAAGGAGCTCAAGGGAGAGAGTTGTTTTACAGTCAGTAAGGCTAGAAGGGTAGAGTCATTTCAGCCCCTTGCCATCAGATATGGATCTATAGGATTTGGAGTTTGCCCTACTTGGTTTTGGTCTTGGTTCTGTCCAGTATTTCCTCACTACTCCCCCTTCTTCCCTTTTGTAATAGCAATGCATATTCAGTGTCATCATATGTTGGAAGTGTATAATTTGCTTTTTGAGTTTTACAAGGGATTACAATTAAGGGATTGCCTTGAGTGTCAGAAGAGACCTTGGTCTTTTAAGTGGTGTTGAGACTGTGAAAGACTATGGGGACTTTTGAAGTTGATATGGCCACAAACCTATGGGAGGCAGGGAGTAGAATGTGGTAGTTTGAATAAGAGTTGCCCCTATAGGTTCATATATTTGAATACCTGGGGTACAGTTGGTGGAACTGTTTGGGAAGGATTAGGAAATATGTCCTTGTTGGATGAGATGTGTCACTAGGTACAGACTCATGCCATTCCCAGTTAGCTTGCTCTCTCTCTCTCTCACTGTGTGTGTGTGTGTGTGTGTGTGTGTGTGTGTGTGTGTGTGATAGTTGTTTTCAAGATGTAAGTTCTCAACTGTTCCTAATGCCATACCGTTACTCTACCATCATTGGCTCTAACCCTCTGAAGCTATGAAATTAAATGCTTTCTTTTATAAGTTGCCTTGGCATGGTGTTTATCACAGCAATAGAAAAGTGAGATAGCTAGCTAGCTATCATGAGCAGATTTGGTATGGACATTGGAGTGCACACATGCCTTTGTAGCCATGTACATGTTGGGTTGCTATATATAAGCTTGAAGCTAGGTTGCATGGTGTGTGATTCAACCACTTCTTGTTGATGCAAGTTTAGAGCCTGTGTGTGTCAAGAGTTGAATAGGAAAGTCATTTTAAATGATAAAATGGTTAAGGAAGGGATGTTCCTCCTGTGTTACCTCAAGACCACTGGTGGGGACTTTTATTCTGGGTGGTTCTCAGGTTTGTGGTCTACATTGAGGGGAACAAACTTGAGGTTTTACTGGTTTTGGATTGGAAATAGTGCATGTTACTTCTACTCATGGCTATAAATTAAATTCTCTACCATGTCTACATAGAGTCTGCATCAAATTCAAGATGTGCTTAGAAGTGTAAACTGGAATCACATTCGAGAGGAAAGGGAGGCAGCTAGCTAGTATCTCCTTTACTCATCTATGGCCCCATGTCCCTCCAAAAGACAAAGAAAGTATTTCTTTCAGTCGATTTGATTGTCATTTAGTCTGTCGTATAGTAAGTCATATATTCTGTCATATAGTAGGCGATAAAAGGAGCCTTTCTTTTAGTTCATACAGACTGTCCTGTAGTCTGTCATATGGTCTGTCAGCTATAAAGGGCACCTCAGACACTCAGCAGGGATACTTGTAACACTCTTCAATCAGATTTTATAGAAATCCAGACCAGAACAACAAAGTAAACCCAGTTGTTTTACCTTTTTAACTTCCTAGAAACTAGGAAACAAAAAGTATTAAGTATGCAAAAAGTAATGAAATTACAACCAACTGTGTTTTATAGATAATTGATAATTCTAAGCTTTGATTATATTATAGGATATCCCATTATATGAAAACAAGAAAAGTGTAGCATACCACATCCTCAAGTACTTTAGTGTCCTGTATTTGTTTAACTATACACACCATGACAGCATGGAGCCTTTTCATTTGCTAGTAATGCATTTCTTATCAACTGTCTACTCTGCTCTTGCTGTTTCTAAGACAATTGGAATTTAACTTAGTTGGAAAGTTTCTTCTTTGTGAAATTGTCTTTATTGAATGAAAGTAATATGAAGCGAAAGTTCTATAAAATGAGCTGGTGGTATTGGTTGGATATGTGACCAGTGTCATGAATACTTTGGATTGTTATAATTTTGATGCTTTTCTCTAGATCCCATTGGAAGGAAGACGAATGTATCCTTTAAAAGGGAGGTCAATGTCTACTGAGAAAATCTGTGAGTGTAACTATATAACATTATTTTAGAAAGAAAGTAGAAATCAAATTTTAAAGATTTTACCAGCAAGCAAATATTTAATAGGTATTTTAGAATAGATTAAAGTACAGTCGATTTCCGAAAATTGTTTTTTTTTATAAAATAGTCATGATGAACACATACAATATAAGTTTATAATTTCACAGATTGTATTGTCTCAAACTACAGTTGAGTACAAAACTGTCTTTTAGAAAATGGTCTCTAGAGGTCACTACTGTCCTGATTATTTATTTATTTATTTATTTCACAGTTTTCCTTTTTTTCCAGGTATTGTTTTGAGGTTCATCCATTTTGGTATTTGTGGATTTCACAGATTAGCTTTTTCTGTTATCCAGAATTCTTTGCATCAACATGGTCTAATTGATTCATGCATCTACTGGCAGCAGATACTTGCTCCTTAATATTTTATCCTTGGCTATTCTGACCATTGTTGACATTTCTAGAACACACATATAAAAGTTCTAGGAATAGAACCACTTTTCACATGCTGCACATTTATTACCTTTCTAAGCAATGCAAACTTATTTCCTAGAGTCTAAGTTTCTACTTTATTTAGCCTTCCATAGCCAGCAGGTAAATTTCATATCCACCTGTACTATGTCAATCTTTTATCACTATTTAAACCTAATAACTCACAGTAGTTTTACATTTTTATTTCGCTGGTTACTAATTAGATTACTTAGCCAGCCATGTTCCATGTTTTGCTCATGTTACCTTTTGTTTTGTTTTTGGAGTCAAGATTTCACTGTAGTCCATGATCACTTTGTTTCAGCCTCTCAGCAGCTGGAGAAGAGATGCTGGTGAATGCTGCCCAGTGCTCTTTCAAGATGCTTACTTCTCATTAAGGAATGTGTATTTTATAGTGGACATCTGGCTGCATCCATTATGCCCTATGCATCTTTTATAAATCTTATATACTTGCATACTAATTGTCTTTCTTTCTTCCTTTCTTCCTTTCTTTCTTTCTTTCTTTCTTTCTTTCTTCCTTCCTTTCTTTCTTTCATATAACCAAGTCCATTTAAATGAAAACAAATATTTATAGACAATATTTGGGAATTTGGGTGTCGTTCTTTCCAAACTACTTCCTGCTGGTAAGGGGCGCTGTCATGGGGATTCTAAGAAGATGCAGAAATCCTGGCTGTAGTCTGTCAGGCTGCTTTGTCCAGCTGTTTTAAATGAAGGATGACCTGGTACTCTGTTTCAGGTGGCCTGGCTTGATCAAACCACATTAGTCTGGAAGGAATCCACATCTTTTCATTTTCTGTGGAAACAAAAATAGAAATCCTTTTCCCCAGTAACTTGTCCTTGAACGTAAATTTTGGAGTCAAATTTTTTTTTATTTAATTATTTTACATGTCGATCCCAGTTCCCTCTCCCACCCTCCCTCCCTCCCTCCCTCCTTCCCTCCCTTTTACCCTCTCTGTCCTCTCACATGCACTCTAACCACCCTCCCCTCCCATCCCCCCACCCCAATTCCATATGTAGGGGAATGCCATCCAGTTGGGGTCATGTAGATCTAACAGGCCATGTGAAGGAGGGACTAGGGCTTCTCTCCTGTCTCTAGATTAAGGCAGTTATCCCTCCATGGGGGATGTGTTTGCAAGGTCCTTTTGTGCACCAGGAATACAGATTTTCAAAGTATGACCTGAAAATTGTCTGGATTTCCTCTGTGTCTGTTGTTATGTTCCCCTTTTCGTTTATGATTTTGTTGATTTGCATGTTCTCTCTTTGCTTCATTGCATTGATTTTTTGTATTGTTTTCCTGGTTACTATTTTGTTGATTTCAGCCCTCAAGTTGATTATTTCCTGGTGTCTACTCCTAATGGGGTGAGTTTGCTTCTCTCTGTTCTAAGGTTTTCAGTTGGGCTGTTAATTCACTCATGTGACTATCCTCTGTTTTCTTCATATGGGCACTTATTGCAATGAACTTCCCTTGTAGCACTGCTTTCAAGGTGTCCCATAAGTTAGGGTATGTTGTATCCTCATTCTCATTGAATATTACAAAGTCCTTAATTTCTTTATTTCTTCTTTGACCCAGATGTGGTGCAATTGCACATTGTTCAGTTTCCATGAGTTTTCAGGTTTTCTGCTATTTGTGTTGTTGTTGAATTCCAGTTTTAAAGCATGGTGGTCTGATAAGATACAGTGGACTATTCCTATTTTCTTGTATCTGTTGAGGTTTGTTATGTTACCTAGTATGTGGTCGATTTTAGAGAAAGTTCCATGTGGAGCAGAGAAGAAGGTATATTCTTTTGTGTTTGGATGAAATGTTCTATAGATGTCTGTTAACCCCAGTTGAGACAAAACTTTTGTTAGTTCTTTTGTTTCTTTGTTGAGTTTCTGATTTGTTGTCCTGTCTAGTGTTGAGAGTGGTGTATTGAAGTCTCCCACTATAAATGTGTGAGGTTTTATATGAGCTTTGAGTTTTAGTAGTGTTTCTATTACGAATGTGGCTGCCTTTGTATTAGGGGCATAGATATTCAGAACTGAGACTTTGTGTTGATGGATTTCTCCTGCGATGAATACGAAATGACCATCTTCATCTCTTTTGATTAATCTTCGGTTGAAGTCTAACTTGTTAGATATTAGGATAGCTACGCCTGCTTGCTTCTTATTTACATTTGATTGGAAAATCTTTTCCCAACCCTTTACCCTGAGGTATTGTCTATCTTTGAAGCTAAGATGTGTTTCTTGTATGCAGCAGAAGGATGGATTCTGTCTTCGTATCCATTCTGTTAGCCTGTGTCTTTTTATAGGTAAGTTAAGACCATTAATATTGAGGGTGAGTAAGGACCATTGATTGGTGATGCTTGTTTGTTTTAGGTTTGTTGTTAGCAGTGGTATTGTGAATATATTTGTTCTGCTTTACCCTTGGTTTCTGGTGTAGTTGGATTATCTGTTGCCAAGGCATAGTTACCTTCCTTAGGCTGGAGTTTTCCTTCCAGTACTTTCTGTAGGGCTGGATTTGTAGATACATATTGGGAAAATCTGGTTTTGTCATTAAATATCTTGTTTTCTCCATCTATAGTGATTGAGAGTTTTGCTGGATATAGTAGCTGAGGCTGACATCCGTGTTCTCTTAATACTTGTAGAACATCTATCCAGGACCTTCTGGCCTTGAGGGTTTCCATGGAGAAGTCAGGTGTAATTTTGATAGGTCTGCCTTTATATGTTACCTGTCCTTTTTCCTTCACTGCTCTTAATAGTCTTTCTTTATTCTGTATACTAGGTGTTTTGATTATTATATGTCGAGGGGTCTTTTTTCTTTGGTTCAGCCCATTTAGGGTTGGGTATGCTTCTTGTACTTTCATGGGCATGTCCTTCTTCAAATTAGGAAAGTTTTCCTGGATGATTTTGTTGAATATGTTTTCGGCACCTTTGAGCTGGGCTTCCTCAACTTCCTCTATGCCTATTATTTTTAGGTTTGGCCTTTTCACGGTGTCCCACAATTCTTGGATGTTTTGTGTTAAGGATTTGTTGGATTTATGATTTCCTTTGGTCGCTGAATCTATTTCTTCTAATTTATCTTCTGCGCCTTAGATTCTCTCTATTTCAGTTTTCAAGTCTTGAACCGTCTCCTTCACCTGTTTGTTTTTTCTTGGCTTTCTGTACTTTCTTTACTTTCCTTAAGGAATTTGTTCATTTCTTCCACTTTTTTGTTTGTTTTTTCCTCCATTTCTTTAAGGGATTTTCTCACATCTTTTTTGAGGGCCTCTATCATTTTTAAGATGGTAATTTTTTAAGTCGTTCCCTTCTGCTTCCTCTGCTTTGTTGTTGTGTTCCATTCTAGTTGGTGTAGATTCCCTAGATTCTGGTGGTGTCATGCTTGCCTTTCTGTTGTTAGGTGTTTTCTTGTATTGCTGTCTTTCCATAGCTTCTTCCAGTAGGTGTTGGTGGGGTCTCCCCCTCTCTCTATGGTACTTCCCCGGTGGGCATATGCGTGTCAGAGATTCAATATTTTAGCTCTGGGTGGTCCAAGCTCTATAGGAGGTCTCTCTGCAGACAGGGACCCAGGGATGGGGTTAGGTCTGTGGATCCAGTAGAAGATGCCACTAGCCAATGGCTCTAGCCAATGGCTGGCAGAAGAGACAAAGGCTGAGCTGAAACTTGGGAATTTTCTGCAGGATAGTCGGATCTCACTGGAAACTGGGACTCTCCAGCTGAGGCCTCTTTCTTTAGCAGAGGCCCTCCTTTGGGGGGTGAAGGATCTTGCCGGTGGGAACTCAGAGTGGACCCTCAGAGATAGGGGACTCTCTGAGAGGGGCCTGGGACTCCAGCAGAGGATTGGAGGTGGGGTCAGAGACCAAGCAGGTGGAAATTACAGGTGGTCCCGCGTGGATAGGCAGGTCTCATTTGTTCAGAGTTGCTCTGAGATATCTCCGAAGTAGGGTGGACTGTTGTCTCCACCCTCTGTCCCAATGCTTAACCAGAGTGGCAGGACAGTGGGCAGGGTAGGTCACAGGGTAGGGGGGGCAGGCTCGTGGTGGGGATGGGTGGGGGTGTATCAGAGCTCCAAGGGTTCTCTCGATGGGGTCAGGACGCAGGAGCAGCGGGATCAGCCATACTAATTGTTTGTAAAGCTTGTAAATGTCCACAATTTGTATCAGAGTGACTTTTTGTCCATAAAAGTATAACTACTAGGTATGTCTTAGGTCTTTGATCCTTGCACAGGTCTTCTAGTTATTTGATTTACTAGGATACTTAGAAACCTTTGGGTACTGATCCAATTTTTATTAATTTACTTACTTTTAAACTATCATGCAAGTGGAGCCAGGTGGGGTGGCGTATACCTTTAATCCCAGCACTCAGTAGGCAGAGTTCAGTCTGGTCTACATAGTGAATTTGAGGAGAGCCAGAGCCACATAGTGAGATCCTGCTTCAAAAAAAACAAATACTCTTAAACTACCATAAAATCAATGACTTTTATATGGCATTATTAGGCACTATATTTTTTATTTTAAAATAATTTATTTTTTCCCCTTTTATTAGTTTCTCCATCCTCTATTCATCCCAGTTCCTCCTTACATCCTCCTCCTATCCAGATCCATTTCTTTCTGTCTCTCATTAGAAAACAAACAGGCTTCTAAGGACTAATAATATAATAATATAATGAAATAAAATAACAACATAAAATAAAAACTAATACACCAGAACAGACCAAAACAAACAAGCAAAAGGGGGAGAACACAAGAGACAGAGACCACTTGTTAGCACTCAAGAATTTTGCAGAAACATTAAATTGGAAGACGTAGGATATGTTCAAAGGACCTGTAAGGTAGAAAGATTGAAGAGAACAATATTTAAAAATAAAACAAAAAATAACAAATTATAAGGTATATTTTTAATAAAAAGAAAACTCCTTGCCATGACATTATGAGATAAGGAACCTCCAAAGATTGCTTGTGAGTTCATTTTCTGTTGGCTATCTACTATTGGACATGCAGCCTGCCCTTACTATGAGTAGTTTGTTTCCCCAGTGAAACTCCCTAGGAGGACACTAAGTTTTCATTTTTGAGGGGTTTTCAGTTGGAGATAGTTTCTGGGCTAGGGATGGGGCTGTTGTCCACTTCTCCTTTCAGCTCTAAGGCCCCATCTGGTGCAGACCCTGTGCATGCTGCCTCAGTCTCTGTGAGTTCATATGAGTACTGATCGTGCTGACTTAGGAGGCTTTGATTTCTTGGTGTCCTCTATCCCCTATGGTACTTATCCTTCTGTTTCCTATTGTATTGGGTTCCCTGAGCCCTGAAAGGAGGAATTGACTGGGTTGGACATGGTGGATTCCTTTCTAGCTCAGTTTCATTTTTATATTCTCTCATGAACTATATTTTTTCCTTTATTCTTAATGGATGCATTGTTTTTCATATTCTATTTACCATATGTGTGTGTGTGTGTGTGTGTGTGTGTGTGTGTGTGTGTATAATTTGCTTACATTACTGACTTGGTTTCATGAGTTATCTTAGTTTGTGCTTATCTTGAAATGTTATTTCTTCTCCAATTTTAAGAAATCTTTCTGGGTATAGTAATTGTGATTGACAATTAACGTTCCAAGCTGACAGGAGATGTGATATTAGTCTGCTATTTCTGTCTTTGCATATAATTTGGTATTTTTCTTTCAATGATTTTTTTTAACATTCTAACTGTGTGACACCATAGAGAGGTGCTTCTCTGTTCATGCCTTTTTGGGGCTTTAGATGTCGTCCCCCACACTTTTGGATAGCCATTTTTTTTCCTCTGGATAAAGTAATTGTTCTGCTGTAATTCTTTTTAACAAATTATATATGCCTTTAGATTTTAGTTACTTCTTCTACCTTATGGGATTTTGGTTTTTACCTTTTGACATGTCCCAAAGTTCTTGAACATTTTGGTCATATTTTCTTTGCTTTTTCTTTATATGTATTCTAATGCATTTTGTCTTAACTTGTCTTCCATCGTTGATATTTTCTTTGTGTGATCTTATCTGTTAATAATTCCCTCTGTGTTGTTATTTGATTTTTGGTTCTCTTATTTGCAAAATTTCTGTTAGGTTGGTTCTTCCTTCCTCCCTACTTCCCTCCCTCCCTCCCTCCCCACTTTCTTTTGTATTTCTTTATCCTAGCTGAATTTCTCCTCCATGCTTATAATTTTGCTTACAAATTACTTATTGCTTTGTCTACTCTGGTAATTTTCCTTCTTTTCTAGTCTGAGTTTGCTTGTTTACTTCATTTGGTGTGAGTTATGGAGTGTTGTCATCTCTTGGCTTTCCATTGCCTACGGCTCTTTAGGAAGAAGCTGCAGGGATCTGACTACGGTCCAGTGTCAACTTCTATTGGAAACCTGGGCACTGCCCCTTGTCCTTGAAATTCAGAGACAGAGTCACTAGAGTAGTATATGGGGAAATTTAATTTATAGTGTTTTAGAGCAAATAGTTCTTTTGAGGAAACAATGGGGAAAGGAACGAGAGAATAAGAAAGCACAAGGAGGTACGTGTAAGGGTGCAGTGTATTGCCCAGTAGGTGTAGAGACAAAATGGCCAGAGACATCTGCCCTGGAAGAAACCATTTGAAACACAACAAAAGAACAACCAAAGCACAGAAATGTAAATTTTCATAAAAAGCTAAAATTGAAGAAGTGCATGACTTTAGGGATTGACCTAAGTAGGTCAATGAGAGTGAGGAATGACAGACACACAGAAGTGACTGTGCACTCTGATGGAGCACACACATCAGTAACCAGCGTGTCTTTCAGACATCTGAATTGAGGAGGGATGGTTTGCATACAGCTGGACAGGGAGGCAGGCATGTCCACTTTTAGTTAGAAGTCTCTGTGGGGAAGTAGTCTCAGGAGGAGATGCTGCCGACAATACATTCTCTATACACTGTCAGTACTGCATGCAGACCAGGGATGGTTTGCCATTTCCATGGGTCTGAGGCATTGGAGTCCTTGATATAGCTGTGCTCATGCCACCCATACACATTTACTCAAGACTTCACCCATTCTGTACACATTCACTCAGGAATGCTGTCATCATTCCAATGACCATGACCCAGGTAAACACAGGCTAGCAGGCCTTCCAATCCTGCTCTGAACCTCAAGCCCAGAATTATATTTGTGCAAAGGCGCTTAAATTATTAGCAGTAAGGTCTTACCTTCATTTTTGTCTTCATACCCCTCCTATGCAGTTATGGCTTAGATTCCTGCAACAGACAGGCTTCTTCCTTGCTGAACTCTATGAGGAGAAAGTAGCCTTAGATTATACTGCTGGGAACATATCCACCTTCACTTGTCTTCAGTTTTCTTTTTTATCATAAATAACTGTCCACATCAAAAATTTAAGCTTGGCACATTTCAAAGTGCTATTTGTTATGCTAGTGAAAATTAGATGCCTTCTACTTTGCTAATCATCTTTATGAATGGACTCTTTATTTCAGCTATTGAGTCTTCGCAGAGCAGCCAGTCTGCCAGCTACTCTCCACTGCAGACCGAGAGTATGTTCAGCTCCAGTCCTGACTTGGTAAGTCACTGCTTTAGGATTATTAGTATATGTTATATTAATTTCAGATTTTTTTCCCTGTTTGCATCAAGAAGAGTTGAGCCAGTAGTGGAAATAAAAATTACATAAACAAAAACAATTTTCAAAGTTAAAATTTTTTTTAATGTAAAAATGTCAGAAATTGTAAATAAAAAGTAAAACAAGTATTTAAGCATTAGTGATATACATTTAAAGTGATAATGAAATATGCTTATAAAAGCTTCTTATCAAGATACATAAATATACACATACTTAGATATATATGTGCACAATGTATTATATAGAATGTGTGCAGTTAAACATATTACACATTGTATATTTATTTTAAATGGTTTTATTTTATTAATTTAATTTGAAATATAGAATAACCAAGTAAACATTAAAAAATGTAGTCTCAAGGCTTATAAAATGAAGTAGTCTGCCTAGCATTGTTGAAGACTGAAATCATAATAGAATGGCATGTTATATTCTGAGTGGGAAATGTCTCACTTCTGATAAGCCATGTTTAATTGAAAACTTCCTCCCTTCACTCCTTATCCTTATTTCTCCTGTCCTTGGTCTCTAGTTTGTCACCCACACTGTTTTCTTTTTTATTTATATATTTACTTATTTATTCTTTTTTTTTTTACATACCGATCTCAGTTCCCTCTCCCTCCCATGCCCCCTGACCACCCTCTTATCCCATGCCCCCACACACACTCCACAGAGAGGGTGATGCCTTCCAGGAGGGGTCAACAAAATCTGTCATTTGGAGCAGGGACTAGGCCCTTCTTCCTGCCTCTAGGTTAAGGGAGTACCCCTCCATGGAGGATGGGCTCCCAAAGTCCTTTCATGCACCATGGATACATCCTGGTTCCACTGTCAGAGGTCCCTTAGACTGCCCAGGCCTTCTAACTGATACCCATTCAAGGGGTCTAAGTTGGTCCAATGCTGGATTCCCAGCTATCAGTCCAGGGACCCGTTAGCTCCTCCTTGTTCAGGTCAGCTGTCTCTGTGGGTTTCTGTAGCCTGGCCTTGTCCTCCCTCTCTGCATCTGGATTCTAGTTTGGCTCAGTGTTTAGTTGTGGGTGTTGGCTTCTGTTTCCTTCAGCTACTAGATGAGAGCTCTATGATGGTGGGTAAGTTAGTCATCAATCTCATTATCAGGGAAAGGCATTTAAGGTAGCTTTTCTGCTGTTGTGCAAATTGTTAGTTGGGGTCAGTCTTGTAGGTCTCTGGACATTTCTCTAGAGTCAGTTTTCTCTTCAAGCCTATAATGGAACAAGATCTCCTGAGCATATTGGGAGTGGGGGGGACAGTGAGTGGAGAGGGAGTTAGGAGAAAGAGAAGGGGAGGAGAGGAAACCACGTGGGACTAGGAAGATTGAGTCAGGGAAGGAATAGACCCACAGTTTTCTAGACTGTCCTATTCTATTACTTTAATAGCATTACAAAAGCAAGTTGGGGAAAACAGGAGTTATTTGGCTTAAATGTCTTGATCTTAGCTGAAGCCAGGGCAGGAACTCAAGCAGAAGCAGAAACAGGAACAATGGAGGAACGCTGTTTCTGGGTTTGCTCTGCTTGGCTTCCTGGACCTGCTTTCTTATATAGTGCAGGATCTCTGCCTGGGGTAGCCACACCCACAGTATACTGCTCCTCCCACCTCACCAGCCACATCTATCATTAATCAGGGGAAACCATATAGATCTTCCTATAGGCAAGCTGGTGGAGGCATCCCTTAATGAATGTTCCCTCTTCCTAAATGACCCCAGCTGTGTCAAGGGAAGTAACCAATGAACACATAACCTTTTGAGCCTTCAATCACAAGGACTTCTGATCTTGATGGAAATTATTTCTAAAACATTTGTGTGAGGCTTAGAGTTTAGCTCAGTATTAGAGCTCTTGCCTTCAGTCAGTACCCACTGCCATTAATAAATGTGGGTTTTGTCTCTGCTTCAGCATCATGATGCAGTGTTAGCTTCCTTCACTCCTATACCATTGCCACCTTGTGCTCTACCCTCCTCTCCTCTGCCCTTCTCCCTACATGATGCTGTGATGACGAGGGCTCTGTACAGGACCTTCTGACATCCAGTGAACGAAAACCGCAATGATGTTGCATATCTTAGAATGACAGTTGTGCTGCTTGATGATTTTAGCTTTGACCCATATTTAAATGTTCTTTTCAACATTTTTTGGGTAGTGAAGAGCAATCTCTACCCTTTTGTATTTCAAACTGAATCCTCTTTTAAGTTTTTCTGGTAATTCCATATCAATAGATATTTTAGTATACCCAAGTATTCATTTCAGGATCCTAGAAAAAGTTAACCTCACTCTGCCTCCTCCCAGTCATCCACTTCACCTGCTCAATTGCAAATTTACCTATTTCTCACTAGACCCCTACTCTACATTCCCACTAGTTTGTTCGTGTGTGATTGTGGTTGCTTCTCAAAAGATCTTAGTATTTTCCTTTTACCCCAATATCTTCTCTGGGTAGCAAAGATCATGACTTTCTAAGAACACACATTCAATCCTGTTAATCTCATTCAGTGGGTTCCTGTTTTACTACACTCCTTATAGCAGACCCTGACTCTGTGAAAGCTGGCCCCGGACTGCATGGAATAGTCACTCTTCTGCGCCCTGATCTACACATAGTGGTTTGACAGTTTCTTCTCTGCTTTGGTTTTATGAGGCCAACCTGACAGTGGTTGGCCCTACTTCCTGAGCTAATGGAGCCCTTCAGACAGTCCTTTCCTACACTTATACCTTGCAGGGTACTGCCTGATTTCTTCACTGTTTCTCACTGAGGTCTTTGATCCATCCTTTCATACATTTTGACTCTTGGCTATCATCTTAGTTGGTTTCAAGTGTCAGTATTCTTGCAGTGAGTTCTTCAATGGCTATGCAGTCTAAATAAGGCCTCATAGCTATGTTTGCAAAGTGCTTCACTCTTTATACTTTTCTCAGTCAATTCAGGTGTATGATTGCTTGGTGAATTTCATGTTCACCTCTGTAATGTATGTCTAAGCGCAGCTGTCCCTCATGTAGATGAGATGCACAAGACTTGCTCTCTCCAGTTTGTGCTTAACTAACTTCTGTGCATTTCTTGGATACTTTTGATAAATTGGAGGCAATAAAGTTTGTCCCTTTATGAATAGTTGCAATATTTATTGTAACCACTCCATTTCCAGTAATCTGATACCTTCATTTTCTCCTTAAGTGTTTTTTGTGATGAACCTAGTAACAGTTATGTAACACATATTTCACTTATGGAGCCAATGAGTGAACAAGGTTACAATTACTAGGTGCTCCCTGAGAACATTTTACTGCTCTGCCCTTTTTAAGTAGCTGAACACTTTGTGGCATAATGAGGCCTCTGACAGCAGTACTGTGAAGACAGGATAGTGCTTCTCTTTTGCATTTTATCGCAGTGACAATTGTTATTGAGACTTTAAAACTCATAGCTTTCTGGGAGCTGTGGGAGAGTCTTTGACTCATCTTTGATATTATGTCTGCTTTGATTTGTAACTTACCAAGTTCTCTTCAGTTTTCAACAATTTCCTATACTCTGAATTCAAAGACTTTTGAAATGGCCTTTTTAAAACTTACCATAGATTTCTTTCATTTCCTTTAGATATCTGAAGACGAAGATCAGACACAGCAGCAAACTGAAGGGTCAAATAAGAAAGCCACAGAAACAACTGACACTTTTTATCTAGAGAAGGTGGAAGAGCATTTAGGTGACATAATTGTGAAAGACAATGTCAAAATTCATAAACAGAAAGATTATTTCCCCCATTCTCCAGTGAAGGATAATACTGGCATATTTCCAGTGTCTGGAAGGTGTGACTTAGGGGTACAGACAGAGAAAGAGCTGCTTATGGGGACAACAGCAGATGTTGCCATACAGTGTACCATAATTTCCCAGTGTTCATGTCAAAGTAGTCCCGATGTTTCTGTAACAGAGGTCCCTTCCCTTCAGAAGGTTGGCAGCTGCAGTAAAGATATTATAGAACATACCACTGGAGGGCAGGAAACACTTGCAGATAACTCACTCTAAAATCTCAGTTTAGGATGTAGTGTTTCATTTAACCTTGGAAGGCAATAGGAAGTCTTTAGATCTTCATTAATGTAATGAGTAATGAGGAAATGAGCCTGAGCATAAAGGGGAGTTTCTAAGTTCTGATGTTTGCAATTATAGTATTTTTGTTTTTAATGTTTTATGTAAGCATTTCTTTAATAGCCTTATTTGTAGAAATTTACATATATATATGCTGCCATTTTTCACATATATGTTGCCATTCTCATGTTGTCATACTCATCCTTATTTGGATTAAAAATATACATAACTGCTTTATTTCTGTTGATAATTATTCTAAATCTTGATAGATTTAAATCGTTCAAAAAAAGTTCCCAGGGTACCTGCAAGCCATGCCAGCCACACTTAACAGGATCTCAGAAGCATTCCCCACCAGACAACCCACATCCACCACACTTTACTAAGAACCAGAAATGGCAATCGGAACTAAGGAACAAAATACCCACCTAAGAAAGACAAAACCAGATATCAGCACCTAGAATTATAATCATCCCAAACCCAGATGCCTAGAAACTAGCATAAAAACACAACCAATACCAGCTAGGACAATACATTTCTACTAGAGTTCAGCAAGCCTACTATAGTAGGCCCTGAGAAATGCAATATAACTGTAGCACAGTCAAGGACTTCAAAATAGCCTTTATGAATAAGTTATAGGTCCTCATAGAAAACATGAACAAATAGATTAAAGAAATCTATGAAAAGACACACACACACACACACACAAATAAAACAATGGAATGAAATGAGGAAAACAAAGATCAGTAAGTAGAAATAAAATCAATAAAGAAAATACACACTGAGGGAAAACTGGAAATGAAAAATTTAGGACCACAAACCTCAGAGGCAAGCCATACCAACAGAATATAAGAAGTGGAAGTGAGAATCTTAGTTACTGAAAACTGAAATGTATACCTCAATCAAAGAAAATGTTAAATCTAAAAATAAGTTCAGACACAAAAATATCCAAGTAATCTGGAACACTGTTAAAGGACCAAATCTATGCATATTCTGAATAGAGGAAGGAGAAGAAACCCATATCAGAGGCACAGAAAATATTTTCAATGAAATCATAGAAGAGAATTTCCCCAACCTAAAGAAGGAGGTACCTATCAGGGTAACAAGAAGCATATAGAACATTAAATGGACTGAGCCAGAAAAGAAATTCCCCATGACACACAATAATCAAAATACCAAGTGTACAGAACAAAGAGAATATTAAAAACTTCAAGGGAAAAAGACCAAATAATATATAAAGGCAGACCTACTAGAATAACACCCTCTCATTGGATACTCTAAAAAGCAAGAAGGACCTGATAGGATGTACAAACTCTCAGAGACTATAGATGGAAATTCAGACTACAATACCCAGAAAAACTTTCAATCACAATAGATGGAGAAAAGAGAGAGAGATTTCATGATAAAACCAACTTCAAGCAGTATCTATCTACATATCTAGTCCTACATAAAGCACTAAAAGGAAAACTTCAAATTGAAGAGGCTAACCACATCCAAGAAGACATAAGCAATAAATAGTATCAGAGCAGCAAATCAAAAGAAGAGAGGGGAACCCATATCATCACAACAAAATAATGAGAATCAACAAACACTGCTCATAGATAACTGTCAACATCAACGGTCTCAGTTCTCCAATAAAAAGACACAGATGAACAAAATGGTTGTGAAAACAGAATTCATCCTTCTGCTGCATTTAAAACAAACCTTAACATCAAGGCTAGATATCACCTCAGGTAAAAGTATTGAAAAAGTTATTTCAAGCAAATCGACTTAAGCAACCAGTATAATCATTTTATTATGTGACAAAACAGATTCCAAATCAAATCTAATCTAAATAGATAGGGAAGGTCACTACATACTCAAAGAAAAAAATCCACCAAAAGGATATTGCAATTTTAAACATCTACGCACCAAAGACAAGGGTAATCGAGTTCACAAAAGAAACACTACTACAATAAGTTAAATTACTTATTGACCCTCACACAGTGACACTGGGTAACTTCAGTACTCCATTCTCATCAATAGACAGGTCATTCAGACAAAAACTAAATGAAGAAATGCTAGAGCTAACTGACATCATAAACCAAATGGATCTAACAGGTATTTATAGAACATTTCACCCAAACACACAAAAAAAATGTACCTTCTTCTCAGCAGCTCATAGAACTTTCTCCAGAATTGAAACCATGCTTGGACACAAAGCAACTCTCAACAGATACAAGAAAACTGAAATAACTTGAATCCTACCAGCCCGCCATGGAGTAAAGCTGAGTATCAACAAATACAGGAACAACAGAAAGCTTTCAAACTCATGGGAATAACAACAAAAAAATCACTGATGAATGAAAAATGGGTCAAGACAGAAATTAAGAAATTAAAAACTTCCAAGAAATGAATGAAAATGAAAACACAACATACTCATACTTTTTTCTTTTATTTATTTATTTTATATAACCAAGTCCATTTAAATGAAAATAAACATTTATAGACAATATTTGGGAATTTGGGCGTCATTCTTTCCAAACTACTTCCTGCTGGTAAGGGGTGCTGTCATGGGGGATTCTAAGAAGATTCAGAAATCCTGGCTGTAGTCTGTCAGGCTGCTTTGTCCAGCTGTTTTGAATGTAGGATCACCTGGTACTCTGTTTCAGGTGGTCTGGCTTGATCAAACCACATTAGTCTGGAAGGAATCCACATCTTTTCATTTTCTGTGGAAACAAAATTAGAAATCCTTTTCCCCAGTAACTTGTCCTTTGTTACTGGAGTCAAAGCATTTTTTTTTTAATTTAATTTATTATTTTACATGTCGATCCTAGTTCCCTCTCCCTCCCTCCCTCCCTCCCTCCCTCCCTCCCTCCCTCCCTCCTTCCCTCACTGCCCTCTCACATGCACTCTAAACACCCTCCCATCCCCCACCCCAATTCCATATGTAGAGGAATGTCATCCAGTAGGGGTCATGTAGGTCTGACAGGTCATGTGAAGTAGGGACTAGGGCTTCTCTCCTGTCTCTAGATTAAGGCAGTTATCCCTCCATGGGGAATGTGTTTGCAAAGTCCTTTTGTGCTCCAGGGATACATCAAGGCTCCACTGTCTGAGGTCTCTTAGACTGCTCAGTCCTTCTAACTGAGACCCATATTCAGGGGGGCCTGAGTCAGCCCCATGTTGGCTTCCCAGCTATCAGTCTGGTGGCCCGTTAGCTCCTCCTTGTTCAGGTAAGCTGTCTCTATGTGTTTCTGCCGCCTGATCTTGTCCTCTCCCTCTGCATCTGAGTTCTACTTTGACTCAGTGTTTATGTATGGGCAACACACTCATACTTATGGGACACAGTGAAGGTGGTTCTAAGAGGCAAGTTCGGTAGCACTGTCTATGTAAAAATATTTGAGAGATCACAGACTAGTAATTTGACTGCACATCTGAAAGATCTAGAACAAAAAATAAAAAAGTTCACACAAAAGGAATAGATGGCAATAATTGGTTAAACAGGGTTAAAATCAATAAAATAGAAACCAAAAAAAAAAAAAAAAAAATCAATGAAACAAAAAATTGGTTCTTTGAAAAAATAAATACAACTGACATACCTTTAGCCAAATTAACTAAAAGTGAGAAAATATCCAAATTAACAAAATTTAGAGATAAAGCAGGGGCATAACAACAGATACCCAGCAAAGCCAGAGAACCATAAGGGCATACTTTAAAAATCTGTACTCCACCACTTTAGAAAAATCTAAAAGAAATGGGTATTTTCTTGACATACACAACCTACAAAAGGCAGAAAATGGAGTAAAAACATAAAAGACACATTCTAAGTCACTCAAAATGATAGTCTTAAAGTCAAATGAAGAGCAATTGACCAGAAAAAGAGATTGTAGAGATTGTGTGTGTGTGTGTGTGTGTGTGTGTGTGTGTGTGTGTGTGTGTGTATACCTTATGGCATGTGTATGGTGGTCAGGGGACAACTAGTGGGAATGTGTTTTCATTTTTTTTTTTTCTTGTCATGTGTGTCCTGGGGATCAAATTTAGATCATCAGTTCCAGTGGCAGGAACCTTTAGTCACTGTGCTATCTTGCCAGCCTTGTTGGAGGTGGTTGGTCACCAGAGGTGGATTTTGAGGTTTCTTAAGACTCATTTCAAACTAGTTTTCCTCATAGTTTGAAATGGGATAGGGATAGATATGTCACCTTCCCTAAAAGTTATCAAAATAACAGGGGATGTCCATTTTAAGTAAATATTCAATTTCTTTTCCTTCTCTCTCTCTCTCTCTCTCTCTCTCTCTCTCTCTCTCTCTCTCTCTCTCTTTGTCTATGTTTTGATTTTGGAGGAGCATTTGTAAATAATATAGTAATGTTTTATCTATTCAGAAAATACAATTTGTTTTACAGTTTAGGTCTTTTAACTTCTCTTGAATGAAAACAATTTGCATGAGGAAAACTGACTTGTTATGTATAAACTACAGTGTAATATTTTCCTGTAATATGCATAATCTTTATATGAATGTTTATAGTCTTAAATGTACTTCAAGTTTTTTATTACATGTATTTATTGGGGGTGGGATCACCTATAACAACGTACATGTGGAGGTCAGAAGACAACTGCAGGAGAGGTTATTTCCTTCCACCATATGGGTCCGAAGGTTGCAACTCAGGTTGTGAGGCTACTTGGTAGCAAGTGCCTTTACCCCCTGAGCCATCTTCCTGGCTCAGCATGTGAACTTTTAACTTTGTAGGAAACACTAACAGATCATTTCAGGTTTGCTTAAAGTCTGTATTTTCTCCTTTAAATGATTGTTTTTATTACGCCTTCCTTGTTGCATTAAGTTTAGATCTACATTGTTTAATCACCCAATGGGACCGGGCCATATCCTTTTTTAACTTATAGGAGGAAGAGTTTACTGTGTTCCAGTTTATTACAGTTCCAGAGGGGTTAGAGATCATGACACCATGATGGGGATCATTGGGTAGTCAGGCAGACATGGCTCTGTGACCATCATGGAGGAGGACAGGGCAGCAGGCACACCTGTCTCAGAGCTCAGCAACTTCTCTTCCATGGTCTTTCCTAGTCATTTTCCCAGAAGTCCTTTTTGCAAGGCATTATCTTAAGCTTTGTT